AAATATATAAAAGATAAGAAAAAATAAAATAAATAAATCCTAAGTTTTTTTAAAAAATAACTCTATTAATTAGATAAATAATTATAATAATAAAAAGAATTTAAGATAATAATATAGAAAGATTAACTTAAAAATATTCCTAAAGAATATAAGATCTATAATAAATTATTCAAAAAAGAATTAAATATAAAGGTATTATAATATAGCCACTAGGACTATAAGATTTAACTTAAAATAGATAACCTATTACTCTAGAAAATCTATAATCTTAATATTAAGGAACTTAAGACCCTAAGGGAATACTTAAAATCTAAATTAATAAAAAAGAATATTAAGATATTTACTTTCTTAGTAAGATTCTTAGTAATATTTATTCTTAAAAAAGATAAATTATTATAATTAGTTATAGATTATTATAGATTAAATAACCTTATTATTAAAGATTAGATCTTACTCTTACTTATTATAGAACTTAAAGACCAGCTATAAGGAAAATAGATCTTTACCGCTCTTAACCTTAAGGGAATATATAATCTTATCTATATTAAGGAAAGAAATAAATAGAAAATAGTATTTTAAATTAAGTTTAGACTCTTTAAATACCTAATAATACTATTTAGTTTTATTAATATATCTATAACCTTTTAAAGAATAATTAATAATATCCTATAATAATACCTTAATATCCTTATAATATATTACCTAGATAATATCCTAATATTTTTAGATAATAAAAAAGAGTATAAGGAATATATCTATAAGGTTTTAAAAATATTATAAAATACTAATCTATTAATTAAATTAAAGAAAAGTTTTTTCTATATTAAGGAAGTAAATTACTTAGGATATATTATTTTATTAAAAGAAATTAAAATAGATTAAAAAGAAAATCTTAATAATAATAGATTAGCTAGAACCTATAATAATTAAGGAAATTTAAAGCTTTCTAGGTTTTATTAATTATTATTAATAATTTATATAGGACTTTAATAAAATCGCTATATTACTAATTAAACTCTAAAAAAAGGATAGAAAGTTTACCGAAATAATACTAGAAAGATAGAAAGCCTTTAAAGCTATATAATAAGTAATCCTAAGTAAATTAATCTTAATTATATTTAACCTTAATAAGGAAATTAAATTAGAAATAGATATATTAGATTTTATCTTAGGAGGGTAGATAGATTAATATAATAACTAAGGAAACCTATATTTAATTACCTTTTATTTCTATAAACTATATAATATAGAACTTAACTATCCTATTTATAATAAAGAATTCTTAATAATTTATAATTATTTTAAGGAATTTAAATATTATTTTATAGGAAATATATATAAAATTAAAGTCTATATTAATTACTAAAATATTATATATTTTACTATAATATAAGAATTTAATAGATAATAGCTATACTATATAAAGTACTTAAGCGAATTTAATTTTATTATTATATATTATAAAAAATTAAAAAATAATAAAGTAAATATTATTAATAAATAAATAAACTATAATATCGAAACTATTAAGCTTAATAAATAACTATTAAAAATAAATAAAAAAGAGAAATACTAATTTACCTAATAAATGAGAATATTAAGATAGATATAAAAAATAACCACTATAATAATATTAAAAAACTAAATATATAACTTCCTTTATGAATTTTATTTATACCCCCTATATAGATATTAGGGATTTATAAAAATAATAAAAAGACTTTTAAAATAGAAATATTAGATCCTATAATTATAATAAGAAATTAAGAAAACTATTAAAATATATAACCTATATATAAAAATAAAGTCATAATAATATAAGCTATATAGTATATTATAAACTCTATCTATAATAGAATAACCTTAGGGATTAATAATAATAGACTTTATAATTAAATTACCGCTATTAAAAAAACCCTTAACTAGAATCTTCTATAATAGTATTATAGTTATTATTAACTAATTAATTAAATATTCTTTTTACCTACCCTATAGAGAAGTAATAGATATAGAAAAGCTTTTTATATTTTCTATTAATATATTATAGCTAATTATAGCCTACCTAATACAATTATCTTAAATAGAGAATTAATATTTATAGTAAAATTTTAATAATTACTTATAGTATACCTTAGACTAAATTATAAACTATTAATAATATTTAGACTATAAATAGATAGATAAATAGAATATATAAACTAAATAATAAAATAATACCTATGGTATTATATTAATTATTAATAAGATAACTAGATTAAAAAACTATTAACTACCTAGCTTATCTATAATACTATCTATAATAAAAGTATAAAACTTATATCTATATTTATAAATTATAGTTATATACTAAAACTATATTATAAGGTATAAAACCTAAATTATATTAACCTAATAGCTATTATTAAAAGCGAGGACCTTAAAATACTCTATAAAGATATAAAGATAAAACTAGAATTTATTTAGAATAGAATAAATCACTATTATAACCTTAAAAAAATAGAAAGACTATCTTTTATAGAGGGAGATATAATATACTTTACTATAAAGAATATAATAATAAAATAACTATTTAAGAAATTAAACTATAAATATATTAAACCTTATAAAATTATATAAAAAATCGGAAAATATAATTATAAATTAGACTTTTTATTAAAAGTTAAGCTTTATCTAATTATTTATATATCTTTATTTAAAATAGTAATTAATATAATTTAAGTTAAGGTCAGTAATAAACCTAAAGAAATTAAAGAATTAGAACTCTATAAAATAGAAATAATTAGGGAAATATATAAATATAAAGATAAAATAGAATACCTAATTAAATAGAAAAACTACCTAGAAAATAAAAATATATAAAAACCACCTAAGTATTTTATTAATACCTAATAACTCCTAAAGAACTTCTATTATTAATATTAATTAAGAAGACCTCCCCCTAGTTAATAAAATCGGCCGCCCTAATAAATTAGGCCTTTATAATAATAAATAACTTAGTATTTTTAATTACCTTTAAGTTATCTAAAACTTTAATATTATAATATAATATTTCACTACCCTACTTATTTAATTACCTATATTGATAATAAAGATATATTAAATATATTAAATACTTATTTACTTATTATTATAATATTAATAATTTAGTCTTAATAATCTCCTCTTTATATTTAAGATACTATTTTTTAATAATAAAACAATTACCTAGAAAAATTAGTTATACCCCGAAAAGTATAAAAAGTAACTAACCCTCAAGAATAGAAATACCCTTTTTATTATATTTTTAACTATAATAGGTATATTAGGCATAATTAGAATAACCCTCTTTAGCCTAATACTTTAAATAATACGGTTTATAATAACTATATAGTATAATAAGGAAACCGGTATTTTTAATTAAAATAGTTTAAGCCCGATAGTTATAAATAGCCTTAGATTCTAATATAGTATTAATAAGAAAGGAACTATTTATAAATCTAGGTTATTATATATTAGAATTATATAAAAAGAAAAGTAAATATATAGATCTTAAAGATAAGACTAAAAGAGAAAAAGAGATTATATTATAACCTAATAGGATAAAATACTTATATTATATATACCCTATTTTTATTTAACTAATTATATATCGATTTATACTTTCGGTATAGGGTAATTATAAGCCCATTTATATAGCTTATACTTTTAACTTATAACTTACTATAAGCCTAATTTATAATACTATAAGCTACCTAAATATACATATATATTTATTTAATATTAAATAGAACTTAACTTATTAGCTATTAATATAACTTCTTTACCTTAATAAGCCTTACCTATACTATTAACTATTAAGAGATATAATACTTCGTTACTACTTAGATTATATTCTATAATCCTACCAATATAAACCTAGAACGGTCTAGTTTATCCCTTAGGAAACCCAACCGTTATAAGCAAGATATATTTATTATAGTAATTATAGCTTATTAATTAGTAAAAGCTAATTACTATATATCTTAAGAAGTAGTATTTCCTTAAGGAATTCCCTATTTAATATTATAATATTATTATCGCTAATTAAATTTAAAAAGGTATTAATAATTAGATACTGGGTTAAATACTTACTAATAACTCCAATTCCGAAGCGGTTAATGACTTAGATTATATAGCGATATATTTTTATAGTGGTTAGTTAATAATATAATTATAATATATTCGGGAAGTTAGTGGTATATAAAGAATTTAGTCTGCTAAGAGCGGAGGGAAATTATAAATTTATATATTATAGATTAAAACTAGCTATTTATCTTAAATAAGGTTTATTAAGGATATTAATTACTATTATTTAGGTAATTAGCTATTTAAATAATACTATTATAAACTTTAATTGATTGGTTATTATATTATCTAGCATTATATATAATACCTCTTATTATATTAAAATTCATTATATTATCTATAGAGGAACCTAATTATACCCTTTTTAAAGGTATATATTCTATTAAATAATAGCTATTATTTTCTTATTAATTCTTAAGATAGTTAAAGTTAATATATATTTAAAAACCAGCTATCGCTATATTTAATATTCTAACTCGATATTTTCATCTTTAATAGGATAGCATTTAACGAGTATTACAAGCTAAACTACTTGAATAATATATTTACTTCTAATCTTAGACTAAATAATTATAATAGGAAGCTTACTACAGCCAGAGCAGTAAGTATTGTAATTGAAAAGGCTAAGAGAGATGTCGTAGACAGGGCAGCTACTAAAGATGCCGAGGAACTGGCTGCATGCAAGAACTTATCGCCCTTAAAGCTCAGCTCTAAGAAGCGCAAAACATTACCAATACAAGTAAGACCTAGAGCACTGAGGCGAGATCCACGACCAGATCGAATGATCTAGCTGTTCTAAAACTGAGATAGAGAATGTCAAGAGCAGCTGATCGAGTTTGAGCAACAGGGTATCATAATTATTATCATTAAAGGAACAACTACATTCGCAGTTGAATTTACGCAAAACTGAACTTGATCATAACTGGTCCGAAGTTAACAATCGGACACCTGAGCGTGATTGTAACTGGTCTGAGCTTCAAAAACGCACATCTGAGTTGGACAACGGAGATGTCACTATCTTCCAGACTGTATGGGGAGGCAGAGACCTGACAGATGACAGCAATGTCGCTTGGAAGGTTAAGGAGCGCGTCCGCACCAGCTGGAGTGTTCCTTCTTCCAATGATATCTCTGGTTGCGATCCCCAGCCAGGAAGCAGGAAGTCGGGAGATATGGGACTCTGCAGATCTTGGAACGTTGAGGGCTGGGTTTTTAAGGAAATACCAAGTTTTCCATAAAATTGACTGGGGCTCTAGGTGATCGAAACTGGTGGTCTGCATATTGGTAGTAGAATACTATGCATCGAAGGAAATGAGTTAAAGTTAGCGTAAAAAAGTTACTTCTTGTCGTATAAAACCTCCCATTGTAAACATACAGTCTTAATGAAATGTTAGAAAATGGAACAAGTTCGAGGTTAAGGAGACTTTACCACAGTGTTATCTACTTCACCTCGATTGAAATCAGTAGATAATAACATAGAGACTAAGATGCATTGTAATACTTAGTTCCATGTCAATAGTATAATATTTGTGCTCTAACTAACTGAGTTATTATTATTAAGAAATGTTTTGTTTCCTCTCCATTATATAATATATACCTATAGAGAGAAGTCTTTGTCCAAGTTTCAGATAGTCTAAGGCCCTGATCGGCGAGTTAAGAAGACCATTATAAAGATACACGTGACTTGAATTGTGGCTTGTTGTGGCTGTGCTAAGTACCGCCATCGGCTGACATAAGGTACCTCTCACCGCCTTCCCCTTTAGACGCCGCTGTCATCACTACAGTGATCATCTTACAGGGGCTAAGTTAACTCAGGGTGCAACCGACCCCCTCTACCAACCGACCCCATGAAGAGATTATAATAGATAATTGGCCTATATTAGGGTTTTTATGTGGATTTCACGTGGTGATTAGGTATGGGCAAATCGTCTATCCAAAATTACAAGGGGGGTCGGTTGGTAGAGGGGGTCGGTTGCACCCTGAGTCAACTTATAGTGAGTGGTCAGCTCACAGGGGGATAGTGGCTACAGTGATTCAATGAGTCATTAAGCTCATTTATTTAAGAGCTAAAAACCCCGATTTCAGCGGATTCAGGAAATGGCATAAGTGGGCAAAATGCTCGCTTCTGATTGGCTGACGCTGGCCGGATTGGGTTAGCCTTAAAACAATATATTAGAATTGCGATCCTGAAGAGGAAACTCCAAAAGTGCAAAATTAGGCGCCAAATCGGTCCTAAAATATTCAAGCTGCAGTGTGCTAATCCTCATAAGCACATTTATCTTGGTGACAAGACCTCGCCGATCAGGGCCATATGTCAAGCGTGCTCTATCGTGTTCACCTTACCGCCATTCCTTACACCTGTCGCCCAAGACACGACAAACTCCTTTATGAGCACTGGAAGGTTTGACAGCCAGCCACATCCCAGCTATTCTTAAAATATCTAACCTGATTTATCTAAAGGAAGAAGGATCCAGTTATATGGCGCAAGTGATAGTCTCTTTTGCCTCCGCATCCTGATTGCTAATGCATGACTGGCTGCCACAAAGACATGAATGATTCTTCACCCAATATTCCTTTCCATAGTCAACAAGAATCCAACTCTGGCCCTTGATTTCACGAGTTGCTTGCAGCATCACACGCCACCTTCCCGAGATCTCAATCGATACAAATTTGCAATTAGACTCGCAGGAATGGTTGACTTTACGTACCCAGTTTCCCATATAGCGGGGATATATTTGACACCATACAACATTCTTGCCGTCTGGAGAAAGGTCGTCGCGGGAGAGGTCGGCTGCCCAACCATCGGTATAGTATCCAATGGGCGCTATTTCGCCCACCAACTCGCCCAGAAACTCACCAGCCTCGTAGTCGGTTCCTGCCCAAGCTCCTTCACCCATGTTCGGTGTTGCCTTAATGGATGGTCCATCCTGACGAACAATTGTATATATGCAACTGCAAACCACGGCTTCGCAAAAAGCACACTGGCGGAGATGGCTGGGAATCCAAGTGGGATCCAGGCCAGCAAGGAATCCGGGAGGCCCCTTCCAGTCTGGATATTTGTCTGGCGTCCAAACATTAGTCAATATTAAGGTTATGACCTTGAGGTCAGAACCTCTGTACCATGACTTGTTGGGGAATGGTTGCGCAGGTGACATGTTGGAGGTTCTTTCCACTATATCTCGGCTTCTAGGACTGATTTCGGGCTTGTTTACAATTTTCATGTAACAGACTTTCAATCTACCAGACTTCTCAAAAAAATTCGGCAGACCTGTCACCTCTCGACCGTGTAGTGGCCCTTCCCTGAAGTAGCCGCCGAAATAACGAGTCTTTGCAGGCCGCGACGCTTTCATCTGACGGACAAGAGCTAGGATCTTTGGTGGCAAACTTGCTTCCAACCTCTCGTATCTTTGACATAGTTCATATTTGCGCTTATCACAAGTAGCTTCGCCATTTAAGACCTTTCTTTTTCGTTAGCAGCAAACAGTCTACGCGCGGGAGATTGAAGTCATCCGTACCAGGGCGTGCCTGAATCCACTATGCTGCGTCAAAACATGCCTGCTCAGGTTTATTTTCCAATGGCCACAGATACCACATTGGCGTCCGTTTTGCTTATAGTGTTCTTCAATCTCGTTGAACCTGACATTATCTGTGGCAGGTTCGTAGGCTTGATTCAATGAAGTTCTTGAGGACATAATGAGGAGAATCGATATCAACTTGAGGCAGTTAACGACTTGCTCGTTCGTTCGTTTGTTCGTTCGCTTCAGCGGGAATTCTAATGAAGTGAATATTTTCGCAGGTCGGCCATTACTGAGATGGGATAACTCCACGCCGCTGTTGAAGCTGTAGCGGAGATCTTCGTTGACTATAGTTTTTCGTCCGCACAAAGAAACAAGAAAAGGGGGGAGAGAATGGGTTGCTTCATTGTGTAGGCGGTGAAGACTTCATTTTAGCAAGGTTTCTACAATCCTTATTGGTTCGCGCTCCTTACCTATTTCGGTTTTCAAGCCTCCATCGAAACGTGTACTTTTTGACCCACCGGTGTCTTTCTGGGCCCTAGTCCCTTTGTCAAGTGTGACAAGCAGCAGCATCCGGACTGTCTGTCTATTGGGGGCAGATAGGCACGAGGTACAGATTGGTTTGGGCTCTTGGTCTGGCGATCAGCCCGCTGACTAAAATTTCCCTCCTAAAGCGGTACCTCATGTTATTCAGCACCCTACTTTTTGTTTTTGTTAAATCATATTTCCTGCAAACCTCCTTCGAAAGTTTAGAAACTAATTAAGAAAATCGTATAGGGATAAAGTAAATTCTAACATGACTGAATAAAATAGATAATCCCATTCAACTTTTTAAGACCATGCGCTAATCTTACTCATTGTATACATAGTAGTTTCTATTTAGAGACGCTGCTCTCTGTCGTCCTGGAATTTCGCTGGCTCAGGGCTGTCTTTAAGAATGCAGCAACTAAAGGGTGTTGATACTTGTCTGCAAGCTGCTCGGGCGTTCTACCACGAAAGGTTCTAGCTGTCAGATCGGCTCCATAATCCACCAGAAGCTTTACAATCTCTAGGTGGCCCCGCTGCGCGGCAGCGTGTAGCGGGGTGCGGTTCCGGGGCCCGAGCACGTCCACAAATTCGTCTCCTGCCTGTAGCCGCTCTCGCACTTCGCTCGTAGATCCGGCCTCGCAGAGGTCGTGTAGAGGCTCTAGATGTGTGTACCCTGCTTTTGACAGGCAAGTGATAAGGTCTTTATCGGTCTGTGTGTTGATCAACGGCGGAAGCTCTCGTCTGGCTCTCTTGTGTATGTAAGGAAACCAGGATTGGACCTCACTGAGGGTCTCGGGTTCGACAGTACAGACGAGGAAGAAAACACCGACGAAATGATGATAGTCGAGTGCTGCTCTGATGGCCCTTCGAATGTCCGCACTGTCACTAGTGCTCGCCCCAGTTAGGGCTCTGGCGCTATCGGTTACGGTTCCTCGACTCTGTATCAGACGCTTGACGAGGTTTGTAATCGGTGTCGGAACGTCTTCGGTCACGTATTTCTTTTGGACACTAGGAGCGACGATGCGGAAATACTCTTGTAGTATACTCACGTGCTTGGAATTTGCGATTCCAATGAGCCATATGGATAGAGCTTTGAGAGACGGGATGTGAGACAGTAGCCAGGCTGCCACGCTGGGCTCTTGCTTCGCCAGCAGCGCCACTGTTGTGTTTTCGGAATTGTGATCCTCGCTGTTGTAGAAAATGGACGCCCCCGCGCTCAGCAAGGTGCCGGCGATATGGGAGTGGCCGAGGCGAAGGGCGCATTCCAGTGTCGTCTCGTGTGGCCAGCCTGGATCGTTAACATCAGCGCGGTGGGAGACAAGCATCTGAACACATCCATGGTGCCCGTTCTCTACGGCCACATACAAAGGTGGCGTCCTTTGTTCTTTGATACCCTGAGGATGGCATCTGTGTTCATTAAAAAATCGACGAATCAAATCTTCCCTGCCCAAACGGGCTGCCACTTCCATGGCGTTCCGATCACAAGTCTCGGTCTCCTTTTTCAGTGCTGAAATCACGGCCTCGTTATCAATCGCAATCGCCTGAAGGTTATCGTCGTCCTGTATTTGTGGCTGAGACAAAACCCACTGATAGGTTCCCACCCCTAAGAGCAGCTTGACGAGGTCCCAGTTATGGTTGTAGATGGCGAAGTCAAGGGCGGTCCGACGTTCTTTGTCTTGGACCTTGTTGGAGACCCTGCTTCTCAGCAGCACTTTTGCAATTTCGACATGGCCACCCTTTGCGGCGTAATGCAGCAGTGTGCGGCCTTCCGAACAGACGGTTAACACCGAGGCTCCTTTCTTTATTAAAAGGTTGAATATTTCCAGTTGGCCGTTTATGACCGCCAAGGTCAGGGGCGTGAAGGAGGTGTTGTCTCGTGCCTTGACTGATGCATTTTGAGCTAGGAGAAGCTCGACGACGCTGAGTCGACCATTGATGACTGCATAGTGAAGGATTGTGCGCCGGCGGGAATCTACCTTCTCTATCTCAGACTTTCCCTTACTGATCAGGGTCTTGAATAATACAAGATCATTCTGAGTGGCAGCGTGGAGGAGCAGCCTCAACGATTCGCCGGGCTCTGATCTGGAGACACGTTTTTGAGGGGCCAGGCGGCATGTCTGCTTGGTTCGTGCCATTCTATTATGGTATATACAGGAGCGGGGTGCTGACAACGACAGGCCGTGAAATTTATTCAGGAAGCGACTTAGTAACAAGTCCTACAAGTCCTACTGTGAGTTCTCTTCCACATTCCAACTTTTTATATAGCCCAAGATTTTATCAAGCGCTTGGATAGTACGCTGGCCCGGGTGGGGAATGATGATGATGGTGGAGGCGCAGCGCGAGGCGTGGTGCAAGGCAGCATTTGGCCTGCAGCGGTCACTCACCGACATTTGAGGTAAGGCGAGCGATAAGTGCAGCTCTCGGCCAGAATCACCTCTAAATAACAAATCTAAAAACATACTTCAGGCAGTATTTCACCGACACTCTCCAGTTACCGCTATCATTATTCCTATTGAAACAAGAAGATCAAAATCCACATTGTCATTAGAGTTAGGCTTTACGCTTTACCACTGCTACAGCCCTGAGAGTACTCTAGTATTTCCTTTGAATAACTATCGGAGTTTCTACATTTATATTATTAATATGATTACCAATTTGGTACCTAGGGGGAAGAAACGGCCATCTGAAGCTAAAGAAAACGAGATTCAGGTAAGAATCTACGAAACCTTAGGATTATCTACTATTGTTTGATTGAAGTTCACTCACATGTGTGATATCTCTATTCTAGGAAAAGCGACTTCGAGATGCATCAATACCGCCAGTCGGCCTTACTACATTGATCGATATCGATGCACGAAGTACTAATGCAGTCGAGTGAGTCAGGCATCCTTAGGAAACCGGACACATAGCTGACAGGTAAGCCTGGTCGCTGTCCACGGGCTCGGGGGCCACCCGGAAAAGACATGGCGGCATGCAGAGACAGGGGCTTTCTGGCTTGAGCAATTTATTCCCCAGGATATTGAGAATGCCAGAGTTATGACGTATGGATACAAATCAGACGTGGCTTTTAGCCAATCCACCGCCGGTGTGGAAGATTTTGCAATAGATTTGCTTGCGAGGCTAGAGATAGCCCGTAAAGACAAATCGAAGAGGCCCATCATCTTTATCTGTCACAGTATGGGCGGGCTGATTGTGAAAAAGGTCAGCATATCTGCATTCATTGTTCAAAGCACTGATAGATACTGTTTGCTGATACTAAACAAGGCGCTTATTCTTGCCCACGATCGACAACAAACTTATAATGCTATCGCCGAATCAAAGGTTGGTATTGTCTTCTTGGCTACACCACATCAAGGATCTGGTTTGGCGGCTCTTGGCCAGCTTGCATGTAAGCTTCTCCGCGCATGCGGGATGAGGGCTAACAAAAAACTGGTGACATGTCTCCGCCAGGATGCTGACATTCTGTGGGATATATCATGCCAGTTCGTCGAAAGGTCGGCAGAGATATATATCAAGAGCTTTTATGAGACCGAATGTTTGCCATTTTTGACCACGCTGGTGCGTCCATCCTCACGTCGCAAATTATAAGCGGGATTAGTGCTTACCGCCACTCTTCTATCCAGGTTGTCGAAAGGAGTTCGGCCGTGTTATTCCACCCCAACGAAACTAGGTTAGCAATGCTCAACGCAAATCATCAAACGATCAGCAAATTTCCAAAGCTAAAGTGCGAGAACTATGCCTTGATGCGTACAGCACTTCAAGATCTACATTCTAAGGTGACCTTACGAGATACACACCCGATCCTAAGTGATCAAGCCACTGTGAAAATCGTGAGTACGCCGACATCTAGACCTGTTGAGATCAAAGCAGCCGTTAACAACAAGCAGATTCAACAGTTCTACAAATCCAACTACATGGAGTACAAGGCCTCAGTAAAGCCGCCCATCAAGGACACTTTTTTATGGTTTCTTCAAGAGCCCCAATACATCACATGGCTCGAGAGTCCAGTATCATCTCTTCTCTGGGTGTCTGGGGACCCTGGCTGCGGAAAGACGACACTTGCTTCGTTTCTAGTCAACAGTATCAACCAGTATCTGATTTTAGGTGATAACGACTTTATAGTGATTTATTTCTTCTTCAATGGAAATAATTTCGCAGATCAAGTCGACGGGACGGCGCTACTCTTTGCCCTTATCCATCAGCTCATACAAGCCGACCCCGCGCTGGCTCCACTAGTCAAAAAGTACTTGGCTCTTGATCACGCTCAGTCTGGGTTGAATCTAGGCAAACTATGTGAAATCTTCCGCGCTATCGTCTCCACCCCTGAGAGGAAGCATGGTAGGATTGTTTGCGTTGTGGATGCCTTGGATGAATGTGATGAAGAGTCAATGACTAAAATTATTCGATTCCTGACCTCGATCGTTTTCGATGACAGTAACAGTGCTAGTAGAGGCGGGTGGCTAAAAATTGTTATTACCAGCCGCTACAACCAGCATATCTTCCGCTTCTTGCCTTTACATCAACAAATTCGACTCGCAGACCACGCAGAATCCACAACACAAGACATTGCGACTTTTGTCCGCGCTCGTTGTGCCCAAGTGCAGACGGTGACGCGCTGCTCCGACGCTATACGCCATGCCATCGAGAAGCAGCTGATAGAGAGGTCCGGCAATACATTCCTTTGGGTCTATATGGTGCTAGACCTACTTGAGACTAATACAGACGCCTCACTGGAATCCTTCGAGGCAATACTGCGGTCTATCCCGGATAGACTAGATGGGCTATACAACAGCATTCTGCAACGCACTAGGTCGCGTCATGAGCTGCTGCGTACACTATCTATCATTGCGGCCTCGCAGCGTGCCCTTACTCTGGACGAGATTGATGTTGCACTCGCAGTCCGACCCGGTGACAGTGATATCAGGCAGGTCCAGCATCGTTGTACGCCCGATATTGCCGGGTATTTATATGCTCTTTGTGGACCGTTCATCAGAATCTGGAACGGGACGGTGTCATTTATTCACCAGACGGCCACTGAATTCTTACTCCGATCGGCAGAAAAGCCTGAGTCAACTGTTGATGATAGTATCCACCCGTATAAGGCGTGCTTGGACATGGTTGGGGTGAACCAGCACCTGGCTGAGATCTGTGTTGTATATCTTACGCTCGATGATGTTATGGGCGACGGGCGGTTGTCAGACCATGGCGCAGCTTCGAATACTCTGTATCGTTATGACGGGGGGTCTAACAACGAAAACGGTCCCATCGTTCAAGATACCAAGAGCCTGACTTGTCGAAAGAGTGGGAAGGGCGCCGGCCTGTTTGACTACGCTGCCAAATATTGGGGCACACACTGCCGTCTGGGCAGCGTCACGTCCTCCACATCTTCCGTCAGCTGCGAGAACTCTACAATTTTCACCAAAACTATTGCTCTCTGCGACACGTCTACAAGTACCTTCCGTAACTGGTTCCAGCTATACTGGAACACGATCAGCACGATCCCGCAGTTCCCTGACGGACTAACTTCCCTAATGATAGCTTCACACATGGGTCTTCCGGATGTCATGCGTACTCTTCTTTTGCCCGACGGGAATTGGAAGAACAAAACTCTCCTTATGTCTACATCGACAACAACACGCTCAAGGGCAAGTCACCTGCGGACCGCTGACTCAGAAGGGTGGACAGCGCTTCACTGGGCCGTCTGGAACGGCCACGGAAGCCGCATCAATAACGACGCCATAGCGGTTTTGCTACAACAGCTCCATAATGACTACCGTGGGTGTAGCATTTATAGAACTCCCCACAAGAACGATCTGCATTATAATAACCACAAATCCGACCCAGATCAACAATATCAGACAACAGAGACAAACACTGCGATTTTAGACATACAAGACAACAAGGGCATGACACCCCTACACTGGGCTGCCGCCGACGACCAGACGGGTGTTGTTCGGCTCCTACTCGAGGCCGGCGCAGCAGTCGACATCTTTGATGCTGAGAGTATGACCCCGCTATTGCTGGCGTATGAGAATGGGTTCATTGGCCCACTTGAATTACTAGTGGAGTATGGGGCAGATGTAAATGTTCCATATTGCGAGCCGTGAGTTAGGTCTGAATACTGGTAGTAATAAATAAAGATATAACCCATTGAAAAACACAATTCCACGTAATAGATATACTAATACCGTTTACTAATCGGTGGTACTAATAGGGTGAGGGTGGGTATATAACGGTTGGGTTTCCTAAGGGATAAACTAGACCGTTCTCACAACAATCTGGCGACGGTCTCTAGTAATGTCCATTAACCATTCTCATAACAATCTGGCGACGGTCTCTAGTAGTATCCATTAACCATTCTTATAATAATCTAACAATAGTCTCTAGTAGTGTCTATTAACCATTCTCATAATAATCTGGCAATAGTCTCTAGTAGTGTCTATTAACTATTCTTATAATAATCTAGCGACAGTCTCTAGTAATATCTATTAACTATTCTCACTAAAACCGAAAATATATTAATAAAGATAGGGATAAGAAATTATTAAAATTTTACCGGTAGAGTCTATTAAACTTTATTAACTAAAATAAGAAATAATAAATATAAAAATAATATATAAGTATTTATATTTAATTTTATTTAGGTTTTAATAAGTAATAATTAAATATTAAGGTATAAAGACTAGATTTTTTATTTACTTATTATTAAGTTAAAATTAACCCGATAGGGGCTTAATTAGTATATAATAAGATAAAAATAAAGACTTATATAAAAAGTAACTATTATTTAAGGGAGGGCTATATATAGTAATAATTTATTATAGTATAAACCCTAGATAAGTAAAGTAAGTAATTATTAACCTAATAAACCTAATTTATAATATAATATTAAAATAATAATTATTATAGAGTTATATATTTATATATAGGACTTACTATTTATTATATATAAGGTTTATTAATTTAGCTATATAATTAATAAGGTAAATAACCACTTAAAAGTAAAATATTTAATAATCTAACCTATATAAATAAAAGATATTACTAAAGCTATAGTATTAATTATAGGGCTAGCTTAAAAGTAAATAGATTTAAAAGACTTTAAGTTTCTAGATCTATTAGATAAGCTAATTCTATATTTAAAGCTATTAATACCGAACTATAAGAAGTATTATTTATATAACTATACTAACCTGCGTAAAAGCGATATATACTATTATTACTAGAAAGAGTATTAATAAAGAAGTAATTAAATTAAAGGGGGGAATATTAAAAAGAAGTTAAAGTAACTAAGGCGGGTTCTATAGATAGAAGGGGTATAATACCAGCGATTTTTTAAGTATTAACTAGCTAATTAATAATTTAAAATATATAAAATTATTAACTTATTAAATTATCTAGATAGTGATTTAAATAGTAATAAGGATATTATAATAAAGCTTATAAGGCTATACTAGGAATAAGTTAATAGGTTTAATACCGTAAAAGAGGATAAAATTAAGGTTACCAATAAGAAGAAGGAGCTAAATATATAATTAGAAAGAACGGGCTAGGTAGACTATTTATAAAGGTTTAAGATAAAAAAGGATTTACTACCGCTAGCTACTTTAGTATATAATAATAAGCCTATTATTTATTATAATAGTGAATAGACCTATTTACCTTTTATTTATATAGCACTTTAGCGTGGCGCTATTAGCTTATCTATATATTTACCTTTTTAAAGCCGGTCTATTTACCTTTTTAAGAAGATAGGGTTCCCGCGATTAGAAAACCCGAATAAATTTAGAAAGTATAGATAAGTATATAATTAGATAATAATAGCTTATAGAATATCTAAATTCGCTTTATAGCCTTTGAAATTAAATCTTTTATTTAATTAATATGATTTTTAATATGGTTTATCTATATTAAGAGCCTTACCTAATAATAGCTAGTATAGTAGAGAGGTTAGCTAATTATATAATATACCTTAGATAATATAATATCTCTTTTTACTTAGTGATTATCTTATAGTAAAATTGCTTTTATTTATTATTAAGGAAGTGAGTTAGAGTTTTATATAAATAAGGTAAGAAATATATTATAATATTATTTATTTTTATTTTTATTTCTTTTTTATCTTATATTGCCTTTAGACTATCTAATTATATAGTCTTTTAGATTAGCTTTTACTTATTCTATTTAAAATAGATTATTTTACTTATATACTATCTATTTAAATTATTATCTATAAGGCCTGCTATAAAGTAGAGTTTAGTAATAATATCTATTATTATCTTTATTAGTTTCCTTATTATATTCTAATAGAAGATAAGATTATTAAGTAATTATACTATTAGGTATAATAGTTTAATTATATCTATAATTAAAAAGATCTATAAAGGCTCCTATATCTAATTCCTTTAGGGCTAGCTATTCCTAGCCTTTCTAAATTAAGCTCTAATGGCTTTAAATATATAGTTAAGCTATTATATTATAAGATTTACCCTAAACTAAAGGAAATAAACCATTACCTTTAAAAATTATATTAGATCTCTATAACCTAGATTAAAAAAGGAAGACCGGCTAAAGGTCTAGCTAAACCGATATTAAGTCTATACTTCCGGTCTAGGGTATATTATTAGTATTTATTTATAAGTGGTTCTCGCTATAAGTATTTCGAGGTTAATTAAGAGGTAAGACCGCTAGAACTATCTAATTAGGAAATTACTATTAAGGATTTCTTTAAAAATCGCTTACTAATCGTCTAGAGGGATATTAATATAATAGAGTAGCTAGATTAGTTTATATAACCTTTACCTTAGCTTAAGTGACTTGGCTGCGTAATATATCTATAGGCCTTTATAGATAAGAAGGACTTTTTATATAGGCTTATCTCTCTTAACTTAGATCTAAATCCCGAAAGCTTTAAAGAATCTAATAGCTTTATCTATTTTATAGTCTTTATAGTATTTAATTAATTAGTCTAGGAAGCTTAAGGTCTAATCTATTAATAAGAGGTTCCTTTTAATACTAGATTTAAGGTAATAAAATATAATCTTAATATAGCTAGTAAGAAGTTATTTAATTTCCGCTATAAGTAAGAGACTAAATAAAGATATATAAATATACTTAAGTAACTTATTATCTATATTCTATATTACCTCGCTCTTAATAATCCGGCCGAGAGATTATTATTTAAAGTTAGTTATTAATAATAGAAGGTATATAAAGACCTAATAGAGGTTAGCGATAAACTAGAAAGGCAGTAAAAGGTAGTATAAAGGTAACTATCTAATTAGATACTTATTTAGCTAATAGAAAACCTTAAGTATAAAACTCTTAGGCTATTTATAATTATTCTTTATTAATAGATAAAAGACTCTAAATATAAAAGCATTATAGTCTCTTTTTTTTCTATCTTTAGTATCGCCCTAGATAGGTTATAGTATTAATATAATGCTTTTACCCTATGGCTATTTAGACTTATAGCTATTTCTTATCTATTTATACTAAGAGAGGCCTATTTAATTAGATAGAATACTATCGAGGTAGTGATTATTAGTAATAGTAATGCCGAGGAAGCTAAGCTAAATACTCTAGGTATCTTAAGTTTAGTTAAATACTATATATCTTAGTATATACTTAGTAACGTGCCGGGAGCTAAGGCAATATTAATATAGTATGTTTTACGGCTTTAAAGTTATAGCATAGCCGCCAAGAGTAATATAATATCCCCAGGCTATATTAGCTAGGATAATCTTAACCTCTTATATAAAGGGAATAGGCTTCCATTTCCATACCTAATATAGCTATTATAGACTTCTTTTATAGCCACTAGATAAATCTTATTTCAGGACCTTCTCTTTTAGTAAGACTACTCTATTCTTAATACTTAGCCAGTCACTATTTCTTTTATACCATAGGGTAAGCTATAGGATAATATAAATAATAATATACTTAGCTATTCCATAGCCAATAGTCTCTATAAGGTAGCCGGCGAGAAGTTAAGGACCTAGCTAATTTCTATAATCTAGAAAACCCTAGAGCTTAAGGTAAGATAGTATTTAAATTCTACTATAATAAGCTCTCCCCCTAGTATCCCAGTACTCTCTAGCTATTTAGAACTAGTTAATTAATTACTTAAGTACTTACTCTTTCTTATCTACCTCTCTATTAGACTCCTAGCTTAATCTACCGAGATACTTACAATATAATACTATAATATAGCTATAGGCAGTCTCTATAATATCTTTATTAACCAGGGGCTGGTTATAATTATTATTAATATCTATAAGAACCTCTATTAGTTATAGAGGCTTAAGGTTATTTATTATTCTTTTCCTTAAGAGATAGGGATACTCTTAATCTATTACCTCTGGCTTATTATACTATTCTATAAAGGTATCCTATCTAATCTACCTTATAACTTAGACTAGGAATAGACCTTATCCCTATTCCTATAGAAAATAATAGGCTTGGCCGAAAATAAAGATAACTTTAAGGCCTAGTAAAATAAGGTAATTAATTAGATATTTAATACTTTTCGCTCTGGCCTAGGCTTCCCTATTCTATTAGAAAGCCAGGGTAAGGGCTAAGGTCAAGATTTATACTAGGCTATTAGGGTTGGGTTTGTCTCTTATATCTATAGTTAAGTCCCTATCTATAGTTAAGTCCCTATTATTATATATATAATCCAGGTCCTACTTTTCTATAATTATTATATACTCTATCTAAACTTATTAGTAATATAGACCCCAGTCCTGATTATATATATAATTAAGTCCCACTCTTATTAAATAATTAGAATTCCCTCTTAAATTCTTAATTTATATTAACTATTATACTTATTCTTTTCCTCCTTACTTTTATTATCATTATTATTATTATTACTATCTTTACTATCTTTATAATATTTATAGAGACTAAACTATTAGCAGATTAGTATTGTCTTAGTATTATTAATATTACCTCTTATTATACTATTTAACTCCTTTATAAAACCTCCTTAAGATATATAAATATCGAGAAGTTCTAGAATAGACTTTTTTTATAAACTATATAGATTACTATTTATAGCTATTTAAATACTAGGGACTCTTAAGTCCCTAGAAAGATTTTATATATTATTACTAAGAAGAAAGGGCTTTAAGGCAGGCTAAATAATATATATATATAATACCTTATAGATCTCTAAAAGGTCGGGGAGCTTATCTATAATAGTAAGCGCTATGGTATAGAACTTTTCTTCTTTTTTAATATTATTAATTAAATAGATTTTATTATAGTATATAAAGAGGCTCCTAAAGATAAAAATATAAATATTAATGCTAAAGATATCTACTATTACTTTTAGTAATCGCTAGGTATAGATCTTCTTAGCTAGGGTGCCTTTAAGAAAACTAAGCTTCTTACTAAGATACTTAACTATCCTTATTAAAAGTATTAACCCTATATTAATATCTATTCTATTCTTAATAAAGAAGTCTTTAATATCTCTATTTAACCCTATTACGGCCGGGTTTAATTAATAATCCTATTTATAAATAAGTAATACCTTTATATTAACTAGTTAAATATTATTAATTATTAATATATTAAGGCTATTAAATTAAGCGGCCTAAGCCTAATATATTATAAAGCTAGATAGTATTACTAGACCGCCCTTATAGATCTTATTTACTACCTTACTTGCATTCTAGTTAAGATCGGCGAGATAGTATTATAGATAATAGCTATAAAGGTATATTAGTATATTAATAAGTCATTTCTAGCCTTAGGTATTAAATACCTTATATAGAATAGTAATACCTATAATATAGATCTCTTATAAGGATAATCTACTATTAAAGTCCTTTTTTTATACCCTTTAGGTAATAACTAGAGTATTAAAAGCCTTATCTCCCTCCTTAATATAGTTTTTATATCTACTCTTAGCTTATAAGGCCTTTACTAAGGTAGCTAGCTTATTATCCCCGTTAAGTCCTTACTTTAGTACTTATATAGTAATACCTAGCTCTATTATAATAGGTTCTCTATCGGTCTAAGAGACCTATATAGAAATTAGATTAATAAATAATAGGAAAGGGTTATTACTATTTATATTATTATCTTAATAATTATTTAGCATTTAGGTAAATACCTAAAAGAGCTAAATACCTTCTAAGAGTATATTTAATAAAGGAGGAAAAAGTAGCTTCTTTATATAACTTATATAATAGCTATCTATCCCTAAATTACCTTCTCATAACAATCTAATAACGATCTCTAGTAATATCTATTAACCATTCTTATAATAATCTAGTAACGATCTCTAGTAATATCTATTAACCATTCTTATAATAATCTAGTAACGATCTCTAGTAATATCTATTAACTATTTTTATAACAATCTAGCGACAATCTTTAGTAATATCTATTAACTATTCTTACTAAAACTAAAAATATATTAATAAAAACAGGAATAAAAAATTATTAAAATTTTACTAATAGAGTCTATTAAACTTTATTAACTAAAATAAGAAATAATAAATATAAAAATAATACGTAAGTATTTATATTTAATTTTATTTAGGTTTTAATAAATAATAGTTAAATATAAAGGTATAAAGACTAGGTTTTTTATTTACTTACTATTAAGCTAAAGTTAACCTAATAGGGGCTTAATTAATATATAATAAGATAAAAGTAAAGACTTATATAAAAAGAAACTGCCATCTAAGGGAGGGTTATATATAGCAATAATTTATTATAGTATAAACCCTAGATAAGTAAAGTAGGTAATTATTAACCTAATAAACCTAATTTATAATATAGTATTAGAATAATAGTTATTATAAAGCTATTTATTTATATATAGGACTTAGGGTTAGGGTTAGGGTTAGGGTCAGGGTTAGGGTTAGGGTTAGGGTTAGGGTTAGGGTTAGGGTTAGGGTTAGGGTTAGGGTTAGGGTTAGGGTTAGGGTTAGGGTTAGGGTTAGGGTTAGGGTTAGGGTTAGGGTTAGGAGCAATACGTAATCGAGGCCTAGTAGTTATTAATATAAAAATTGAATATCGACGTTTCTAACTAGAGATAAGGGTTCCATTCGTAAGTACTGTGGCCCGTAGCTTGTGGGTCGTATGGATGATGATACCACAGTTAAGCTCTAAGAGCTGGGTGTAGCTCTGGAACTTGTCTTAAACGTCATCATGCGGGAGTTTAAAACTTCTATCATGCATGTCGTTGTCACTATTCGCGGCTAACTAGTGTTACTTGTGGCAAATGTTGCGCTTTTTTCAGACGCTTACATAAGCAGCGACGGCTCACAGGAGATGTAACCTTCGGTTTATTACTAGTATATAAACCTAGATATCCTTATTCTGCCTAAATGGAACCCTCTAAATAACAACGACAAGGTCGATTGCCATGCCCTTGCAGTATTGCTACTGCCGTCGCTATATGTCCAGCCAAGGCGAAAGCATTAATCATCAGTAAAGAAGCTAACTATGATAGAGAGAGAGTTAAAGCTTATCTAGAATAATAGGTTATATCGGGCAGTAACTAATAAGCACGGTAAAGCTTGAACCTGGCGATCAGATTTCAGCAATACGTAACTGAACCAATAA